CGCGGCCCCGGCCTCACCTCAGCTTCCCCAGAGGGGACTCGGGCAGCAGCATGGGCGCCGCCATCTTGCGTTACCAAGGGGAGGTCACGTGACGCCACGGCGGAAGGGTGCAAAATCCCTTCCGGCGCCCGAGCGAGCGGGCGGGACGTGGTGCGCACGCGCGCTGGGGGCCCCGGCGGGGGCGGGGCGGTCACGTAGAGACACTCAGGCATTAACGGTCGGGGTGCGGGGCTGCCTTAGGGGAGTGTTTTAAAGCTGAACACCTAGGGCTCAGTAAAGACTCTATAAACACTGTTTTCCCAGCCCTGCCATTAAGAGCGGACACACGCAGCACGGTCAGTGGTCGGGGCGGACCCGCGCGGTGCCCCCGGGGGCGCCCCCGGGGGTAGGGGCTGCCGTGTGGGCGCCCAGCACCGACTGCGACTGCAAGAGTCACCTCGTCACGGAAAGCCGGGGCCAGACCCCGCAAGGTGTCAGGAATCAATCCCGTGGCAACAGGCGTTACAGGTTGCACCTCAGAGCGGGATTCAGGCTTCCTTCGGAGGCAGTGAATTCGCAGGTTTTATTCAGGCTTGTTTTGTGGAGTCATTAATAATCTATGGGGTTGATTAACATTAAGTTAACGTGCTAAGCCATAACGTAGGTGCTGGCTTCTCATATCCTGGAGGTAGGACTTTGCCTAGGTGCCTGAGCTGCCAGCAGTGAAGCGTAGTGGGGCAGGCTTTATACAAATCCAGCTGATTCCCTGCGCTGTTCATCAACAGCATAATGAGCGAGTTATATAATAATTCCGAAGTTCAGTGAAGTTATTCAAAGCAGTCATGATTGCTGTAGATGGCAGCTGCACTTGCCATTTGAGGAATGAACTTCTAGGTTCATGCCCTCTACTAGTTAACCCTGTTGCAGGTTTTGGAGTGTCTTTCAAAATGAAGGCGTTGATAACATCACTGTTATTTTTACAGTTTGCTCATGTACAGTGTACGTATAATACATAGATATGCTGCTGCTTTAGCTACAGGAGATGGCAGTATTGTGCATTTTAGAACTGATGAACCTTACACACCCATGGAAGGTTTGAAAAAACACAAACATGCTTCATAAATCTCATTTTATTAAGAAGTTACAGTTCTACCTTTTTCATCCTCCTCTTAAGAGAATAAGTAGTATAATGATGACCTTCCTTTACAATTTATAAGTCTGTATCAATTTCAATCATTTCTTTCATTAACTTGCTTCACTTCATTGTAGCCATCTCTGTATTAGATGCTGGTTTAATATGCTTTGGGAAATACATGTCTTAATCATAGAATCATTGAACACCTAAGGTTGGAAGGGTTAATATATTTGAATAGTGAAAAGGAGGACATTTTTGTAAGAAAACCCATATGTTAGTTAGTAGCAGATGTAAGTTTTTACCTCTGGTTTACATTGGAAAATGGTAATCATTGTGAAGAAGCAGCATTTTTTTTTAATGGGAACACAATAGCTGCATTTTTCTCCATTTTGTTTATTCACATTAATTTATACATGTAACAGCAGCTTCATGGTGAAATACAGATACACGATTCCATACAACTAAATTGTTACAGCGTTGTGAAATATTTGTTTTAGAAAGAGGCAAATATGTCCATTCCTGGCTGGAAAGTTCCATTCACATATCGGAAGTAATCTAGCGCTCTGGTCAGTAGCTGTTAACCCTTACACTGGTGTTTTCGAACATCAGCCCTTTCAAACATTTTTCATTTTCACAAAAGGTTTGCAGAAATGGCTCTTCTGTATTTCCTCCAGAAACAGATACCTACCTTCTTCTGCCATGGCATATATAGTACCATACAATGTAGGTATGAGGTGCCTGGATTATACTTCAGAGAGTGGCACGGAAACAACACAGGGGCATTTCTTCTGCAGCTTGCAGTTGCACACTATAGTTCTTCGTAAAGAAGAGCTGCAAGATGCACGCACAGACCCGGGCACGTTGCAGTAGACCAGCTCAGAACGACGTAGCAGAGCCACTGCCTCTGCCGAGCACACATTTATGCTTCATTTGCGCTTGGTTCATATGGCGTTCTTTCCCTTCCTACCACTGTGGACTGACACTTGCAAATAAGTGCTTGCTGGTTTTGTTATATGCCCAAGCCCATGAGAAAGAAAAGAAAGATGTATTATATAGGCATAAACATAATCTTAAAATCAGTCTCATCTGTGTTTTTGCCGTATACTTCAGTAGAGCTTTCTTGAAGGAGCTGTACGGCTTATGTTCTCCATTCTGTTTATTGAAGAAAGTTGAAATTGGAAAACATGGGACAGGACAGTCCATCAATGACTGGCTTTTTTGACAAGAAAAAAAAAAAAAAAAAAAAGCATGTTCATTAGAAGACAGTCAGGAAATGGGGGTTTGAGATCAGAAGTGTTGGATTTTCATTGATGCTTCAGGGCTTGTAGATCTTATTATAAAGTAATAAGTGCAGTGGTATTAGGAGAGCCAATCTTCTCTACTATGCTGGCAGTCCCTCGTGTTCATTGTCGGTGCTAGCCCCGTTGTGGGCAGTTCTCAGTGCTTTTCACTGCGAAGTGCACAATATATATGAACTCCGCAGAGTGTTTCCTTCCCCCACCTGCTGTCCAATGACAGTGGTCCTGTTGCCATGAATAAATGATTTCTCACAGGCCAAGTACTTCTGTGAGCACTAATAAAAACTCTATGACAGTGTAAGTTACTTCTCTGTTGCTACAGCGTTGACGACGACTGAGTCTGATTCAATACTCTGTTCCAGAGCAGAAGAACTCCCATATAACATGACATGGTTTGGATCTATCGGCCAGCACTGGTTTATTGGAGGATACTGACTTTTATGTAGATCCTGATCTCAGCAGCTTCTGTAGCCTGCAAAAGGCATGCGGTGCTTACTGTTCCCACTGCACGTGGGGACTGCAAAACACCCTGTACAACGAGCTCTGTGGTTCTCCAGGTACATTTCCATGACTGACTAATGCTGACAGTAGCACATTGACTCTTTCCTCATAAGAGTCGAACACAACTATTTAGGACTAAATATTAACTTCCTTGGAGTTTAAAACTGTTAATTTGTGAAATTGGAAAACTGAGGTTGAGTTTGGCCATAGCTGTTAATTAACTTATACGATAGCTATCAATATTTTACTTTCCTGGGATTTTCCATTTCAAAGAAGTAGAATTGTGCATTGTTAATAACATCAAGATGATGGGAGGGTTTTGTTTACCAAGTCGTATGCCTTCTTGAGGCTTTCGTCCTCTCTTGATCTGTTTAAAAGTCCAAATTATGGTATACTGTTAAGTATATGTATATACTATATACATGGTATAGCATATAACAAGTATATATATGCAGATAGTATATGAACTTTTGTAAGTCATAAGCATTGCGAATGGTTTTGGAAATACTGTTATTTTCAGCCAGACAGGCAAATTCATCCAGTACATGAACAGCAACAGTTCATTGCATTAGTTCAGTGATATTTGCAAGATGTAGGTTGTGTGTCAGATTCAACACTGCTATGGCTTGATACTCAAACATTAGGGGAAAAAGAAAAGATGAACTATTAAAAAATCAAAAATTTAAATGTATTCAAAACTAACTAAAAACTGGAATAAAATATAGACCTTGCAGATATGCTTATAGATTGTTGTATGTTCAGGGAAACTGATGTGTGACTGATGAGTCAGGAGCAAACAAATACATATGTACTTAAACAGCATTACATTATCTGACCAAAACCGGAGGAAAACAAACAACAACAACAACAAAGCAGAAAGTTATCCATGCACATAGATTTATTGCAGAGAATGCATAGCCATGTCAGCTTGGGAAAAAGAAGATTTATTGATGTGCCGCAGTGAGTTGTTTATGTGCAGTGCCCTGTGCATATACAGCTGAACAAGAACACGCGCAGTCAGTGGGTGCATTGGGAGTGTGTCCAAGTTGCCGTGGGTGTAAATGTCAAGGGCAAGATGCTCTCCCCATGAGCCTGGGCCCAGGTGTTTATCACTCCCCTTTCTGCCAGGAAAATCATTTGTCTTCTCTTGCCAGCAAGAGAAATCAGTGAAATCAGCTCTCCGGGTTGGGCGTCAGCAGCCCTGCTCAGGGGATCTTACTCTCAGAGGTCTCTCCTGCTGGATGTGTGTCACTTCGCTGTGCTTTGACACTGGCTGCGTGTGGCTCTAGCGGAAACAGCTGATTTTCAGGGGGTTGCAGCAGTGATGAGTCATGTTGCCAATCAGTTCCATTCCATTCCTGCCAGCAGGGAAGTTTTTCCACTCTTACGTACTCCAATACATCCCTCAATGATATAGCAAAGTTCAAATGCCAATTATTGAAAAAAATGCATGAGCGTTTAGCAAGAAAATGTTAACGTTCATATATGCATATATTTTAAAATTACAAATTCTACAGAAAACTGCACTTCAAAACAGCTCTAAATTTTGAGTGCTCTCCTTTTGGAGCATATACATTGCTAGAAATGAATATATCACTTCCTATGTTTTCATAGATACAGATTGAACATCTAAGCAGATAATATATCCAATATGTTTCTACTCAGGTTGCCTAGAGAAAGGAAGAATCCATAAGATTTAATGACTTTAAAGATGGGACATCAATTCTTTTAACAGTGTATTTCAAAAATAAGATTGAATTAATGTACCAGTAAATTCTCAATTACCTGAAAACACAAGTGTTCTAAGTAGTAAATGCTGATTTTTTTTCCCTATAAATTCAGTCCCATTGTTAGGTAAAATATTCTTTCTGGTAATGTGAAGGTCTTTAGGGTTGTAGTCTCAAAATATTTCTTGCTGTTAAAGGAACTACTGAGCATCTTTCTGAAGCAATCTTCAACGTAAGGACCAACCATTAATCAAAACGGCTACAAGGTGAATAAAGCGGCACAGTGGAATAAAATCATTCTGTCTTGCTGTCTACGTTGCCAAGACTGGTCCGGAATTTGAAATGATACATTTCAGTTTCTGAGTTCTTTCTCCTCTGCATTTATTTATTTGCCTTTGAAAATGCTTTGGGGAGAGCATAGAGAATGTCACTGAGATATTTTCATACATGTGTGTGCACATGCATATACAGCATGTGTGTCAGAAATACAAAACATAAGCATGTAATGGACATAAGTATGTCCCTATGAAATCCTTTATTTGCATTTTTTTCTTATATCACTTGCCTCTGTAAGAACTGTGCAGCAGCAAGGAGGCAGCTGTCAACCTTTGGAACCATTTTTCGGTTGTTGTGCAAAGCAACACCCAGCATTTTGCTTTGTGGAACGAGCTGTGAAGCCCTGGAGATCTTATCCCAAAGGCTCTGGCCTGTCACGTTGACCAGGCGCCACATTCAGTCAGTCTGACCTCGCGGGAGGTCCCAGCCCTGTAGTTGTCTCGTTTGGGCCACGCGGTGCGTGGGATGGTGCTCCAGTCCCAGCTCCTGTGGGAGCAGCAGCTCCACGCGGGCGGCCCAGCCCTGCCCTTTGCTGCGTGGTGTCCCCAGCACTCACGGGCGCCCGCGCTGAGGACAGGCCTGTGCGAGGGCAGCCCTGGGCTGGGGTGCTGGCGTCTGCCTTGGCGTGCCGAGAGTCGACATGGGCTCAGGGCGAAGCGAGGGAGGCCAGCGAGAGCTCACGCAGAGCCCAGGCGCTGCGCCGTGCCATCAGCGGCGATGGTGCCCTGCACCCTGCGTGGTTAGTTGGGGGCCTCCTCTGCTGGGGGATGAAAGAGAAGCCCAGTCTTATTTTGCCTTTATTTCTGCTCGAAGCCTGTCAGTCGAGCTAGTCTGTTTCCTAAGGAGGCTGGATGGTAGCTTCCCATTCCTTCTGTTTTGCTGAAACAGCACAGCGGCAACTGAGTTTCAAATTCACGTGTCCTGGGTGGCAATGTTAGGCCACCCCTGGAGCGGCAGGCTAGTCTTGTGTTATTTATCTCAGACGTTTGTGGGTGTCTAAAATGGTATCTAAGGGAGAAAACAGTTGACCTGTGGCACTGTGTAAAGTTTTGCATTGTTCTAAAAAGGAAAAAAAAAAGAATAATAATAAATACTTAATTGTAGCTTTTTTTTTTCCCTACAGAGAAAAGTAATAAATAACTGACAGAAGACAGTTGTTTCTAGTGCCTGTTTTAGCTAAAATAACGGGGGTTAATTATTAAACCTTTTACTTGGTTGCTCACTTGTGCTGCTGATGCTTTAATCCTAGGTCACAGAAAGTTTAAGAGTGCTTAACAGAGTAGAGTTATTTCTTTTTGCCTCAGGTTTTTCACACTGAAAGGATGTTACGGGTTTTGCTGCTTGCCTTCTCTGTGGTTGTCTTTGCTCATGCTGAGCTCTGCAAGCCAGGTATGTTTTGGAGCTGATTCCCATCCTTTCCTTAGGTAAATTTAGCTATGAATTTATGCTTGCAAAGCTGCCAGATTCTTAGTTGGTGTTTTAGCTGTTTTGTCTCTAGTTTCAAGTTTGATACTCAGAGCATTCAAGTCCGTTACGAGTTTTAAAACGGACAGAAGCTGATACTATCTGTTTTAAAAAGGTACTGGTTAAACCTTGCTGAGAATCCATAGGGCTGCTGCATTGTTCGCACTGGTTACTTGTACCTCTACTAATCGGGTCATCAAGACAAATTTAGAAGTTGTAGTTTGTAGAACAATTAGATAAGTGAATGATTTAAAATCCCATTTTTAGGATGATTTTCAATATATGTTTGCTTTCTTTCTCTTTGTGTCAGATGCACAGAATGCTTTCAAAGTACGGCTTAGTATCAAAACAGCTTTGGGAGATAATGCAGTAAGTAAAGTATCGTCACATATTCTTCCTAATTGAATATCTGCCAAAGTAGAACTAATACATACAGTAAAATTTCTGAAGGCAGCACAATTTGTTTTGAAGTGTTGATTGCAGTAGCTTGCTCAAGTCATGATCCAGGAATCTATTTCTTGACATTTGATTAGCCCTCTACTTAAAGTAACGTCTTTTAAAAGAAGTTTAAAGGTCGCCTTTTCTGTGTAAGGTGGTTGTTTTTTTCTTTTTCTGCCTTTCTGGAAAAGCTGTAGAGATCTTGCATTTTATGCATGAGAGATGCTGCATAAATCTAAGTCTGTAATTTTGGGAAAAGCACTTCTGCTTGAGACTGCTAATTGTAAAGTCAAGCATGTCTGAGAAGATAAGCAAGAAAAGATTGTTAGATATTTATGAAATGGGATTTTATGTCAGGGTCTTAGCCAAGCATGATCTTGCAGAGATCATTCAAGCATATCTCATCAATTCCCTATTAATATGGGGCTTTGAGTAGTGCCCTTTCTTCTCAGCTCGTAGTGTACATCTTAGTCTCATGAGAACTGGAATGCTTTAGTTTAATTCGAGTTTTTGGGCTTGCTGTGGCAGAGCTGTCGTGAGTGATAATGACTTGTGGTACACAAGAGCCTGGGAAATGAGATGGCCAAATGGCCCTTCCTGACCTAAAGCTCTGTGAGATAGAGCAGAGCTCCGTACAGCCACTGCAGCTCTGAATGCTTAGAGCAGATCTGCAGTGTGTTACCGGGCTCAGCATAAAATTGAATGTGAGGTATCTTGGACAGTCACCTCTATTGGAAGTCTAGAGTCTGATTATGCGAGGAGGCCTGGGAAACAAAGCCCCATAGGTTACATGTTATCACAGACCAAAGATATGAGGATTTTTTTATGACCTTAGAAACCATTCTAAAATTAACCTGAAATATCAGGCAATTTAAACTGACATTTATGAAGGACCTAATCCCATTGGAAAGTTCTCAAACCAAGCAAACTGGGAAGCAATACTGAGAATACATCTTAAAGTATTTCTCTGTAGAAATTAGTATTGAAGTCAATTCTCTTGGATGAGAAACTTTAATTAAACCGTTAAGCAAGGCTGGATTGTTTCAAAATTTATTAAAAATATTTATGTAAGATATAATATAAATGTATAATATTTATATAATAAAAATATTAATCCCATAGCTGAAAACGTTATCAAAAACATTATTGAAATTCATCTTGATGATAACAGCAAGATATTTTGATTTAATCTTTGCTCAAAATATTTCGAAAGAATTAAAACCACAGTACCAAGCATTTTTTCCTAGTGTTTTTACTACTTCAAACATAATAAAAGAAAGGAGGGATATTTGATCAACCATTTATATTTTTTTTCTGTTTTCCTTTAAAGAAAGAGTATGCTACAAATCATCAATCCTGAAGGTGATTTTTATTACATATAAAATAAGCAATAACTGGTGAGATTCTTTTTGTCGTAGATAGATAGTAGTTTCATTTTTGTGACAAAGTATGTGTAAGACCTACGAGTGGGAAAATATAAAAGAGCATTTTAGAACAACAACATGATGAAAATGGTATGATGTCATTCAAAATTATCCATAGGTAATGAATACTATATTAACTTCAAACAGCTAATAGTTCTTTTTATAACCATTGCAATGCTTTCTGCAAATTACTAAATTTCAAATACTGAAGCTAATCTCAATTTGAAACTCATTTTATTTTCAGAATTTGGGATGCTTCACTTTTCTTCCTATTTTAGCAAAGGAAAGGGTAGCACTCTTCTTGTATCACAGTAGGAATCTGACCTTACAATATCTTGGTGTGATGCTTTGATATTTAATTTTGTTTCCTTCATTTCTGAACCGCCTCAGTCTAGATGATAACAGAAGACCCTGACCCCAAGAGCATTTCGCTTTGTGACTGGCAGGATTACTCCGGTGTAAATTCAGTGCATTGCAAATGGGGTAGTCCAGTTCTGTCCATGATTCAGCACATGCCATCACTTTGTGTGGAGCAAGTAGAGACAGGCACCATTTTTTCATTTGTTCACAACCTAGGCTGTACTTCCATGTAGGGAGTGCCACTTGCTATTTTTATACAGATCCTGTCATGGTGGAGCTATAAAGGGCAGCTAAAATCACAGAATCACAGAATGGTCAAGCTTGAAAGGGACCTCCAGAGATCACCTAGTCCAAGCCCCCTGCTCCAGCAGGGACACCTAGAGCACGTGGCACAGGGTGGCATCCAGGCGGGTTTGGAAGATCTCCAGAGAAGGAGACTCCACAACCTCTCTGGGCAGCCTGTTTCATAATAGTTAGCATGTAACTGTTACTGTTTTCCTTGCAAGTAATGGGTTTATTTGATAAAGATGTCATTGGCTAACCAGTGGGAAGTAACATGGCATCTTTAAGCCCGAACTTAGTCTTTCTGGTGTTGACTTTGTGAGTGGCTTCTGGAATGACTGCTGCTTGCTACCTGCTTCCAAGGCATGCAGCTAGCAAAGTAAGTAGAGAGTTAATCTAAGAGGGCCAAAGGCAGCTTTGAATGCACAGGAGCATGGTCCAGTAGAAGTCCATGTACTTGTCAGTGTCACCTCTCAGTCTAGCCAGAAAACCCAGACAGCCCATCATAAGCTGCAGGCCAGGCCAGATGTAGGTGCACCTCTCTTCCAGACTTTGTACAACTTCCACGGTGTAGGACAAACGGGAGAGAAGCTGGTGAGCACCTAGTGTCTTGCCACCAAATAGGACATATGTTCTCTTCTACAAAAGTCTGAATGACTGCCTGGTTAAAACATAGACTCATTCAGGTGGGAAGGGACCTTAGAAGGTTCCTAGACCCCTTCTACTCAAAGCCAGGTTAATACCGAGTTCAGACCAGGTAGCTCAAGGCAATCTTACAATATCATCTTGTGCTACTAATGCAATTTTTGTCTCCCTTAGAGCATCACTACAGCACTTCACCACGTCGACAATCTAGGCTTATCATCTTTCCCCCATTATCTCGTCAGCCTTCTCTTTTGCAAGCAGGCACTTAGGAATGGCTTCCACACTCAGCGAGGTCTAATTCTGCTCTTTCTTAAAATACAGAGAATAGCGGGTGTGACAGGGCCCAAGTCTTTGTGTTTGCTCCATCACAGAGGAAAGCAGAGAGTATACATTAATAGTCCTGATATCATCACATAAGCTTTCTTTGATAATAGAGTTGTCATCTCCTTGTAGTGTGGTTGCAAATGGGGTTAATGTTCTTTTTAGAGCAACACAAAACGTACATGAATAAATGCACTCCACAAGAATATGAGACTAGATGCAACGTCCTGATTCATCAGCTACAGTCCAGGCCTTGCAATTGCAGAATAAAGATGAAGCTAATAAAACCCCATCATAAAACTTGTTAGGTTTCTTTGCACCTGTCCCTCTGATTGGACAAAGCTGGTGATTAGAAATTGGCTTCCGATTTTCAGGCAGCATTTATTTTGGGCCAATTAATGCCCATCGAGTCAACATTGTTTACTAGCCTAAAGGCACTCTTGCCATATTCTTCCTCCTCGTGTTGCTTTCCTCGCTGTGTACTTCCGCACAAAGTAACGTGCAGATTTTCTTGTTCGTACAGAATCTGCTGCCACCCGCTTCTCTGCCTCCTCTCTGCTCACCTTTCCATGGGGCTCTCGCCCTCCTGCTCCCAAGGCAGTCTGCAGCCCCCGCTCAGCACTCAGACAGACCCCTGACTGCTGCTCTATTCTCTCTGCCTGTCCCCCACCCTCCCGCCATCCCCAATTTCTTGCAGCCTCCTGTTTATTCTGTCTTTTTAAAGTTAGTCATTAAGGTAGGACTGGAGTTCCTCACGACAAATTATTTTCCCAGCAGTTGAGGTATGTTTTTGGTTCCTGTGACTTAAAGAAGCTCTAAGCAAGCGTGGCTGCTTTCTGATCATGTAAATTGTGTGCTCGATGGTGATGCTTTGGGCATATGCACATGTGCTGCACTAAACATTAGCATAGCAAGTGCAGATGCTTGGTAGCGCCGCATTGCCTCTGTATCTATGTAAGCGTGAACGGGAATGTGCTTCATCATTATCTGTTTTCGAGGTAACTGATACAATTATCTCTATAGCTGGTTCAATCTATAAGATAACAAATGCTTGGGTGGTTTTTTTTGGCTTTCCTTCTCTTTTCATCCTGTCCTTTTGGACCTGTCCTCAAAGACTGCAGGTGGCATCTAAGGATTCAGTCAATAGTATCATATAAAAAATAAATAAATAAAAGGAAAATCATTCCTTTCAGTGCTGCGAATTATGCTTTGTGGTTTGAACGCAGATGTCTTTAAAATTATGATGAATAGCTTTATGGCTCTCATCTATATTAATTCTGCTACTATGCAGTCTCTTTTTTCTTTTAATGATAGTTGCTGTCATTACTGTCACATTTTCACCAGTGCAGTGAGAACAAGATATAGGCATTTCTTTTTTTCCGTCCCCCCCAACAATCTCTCTTCTGTTTAAGTTCTCAGATGGACGTGCACTGTCACGCTACATTTACACCTCCCTTCACTCACAGGGCAAGTGTGGTTGTGAGTCACAACCCCCGTTCTCAGCACCGAATTGTGATTTTAATGCTACTCAAGCACTTTTTTTGGCTCAGTTGTGTTCTCTCTGTCCTACTGTAGCATAGCCCATTTCATAGCTCGTTTGTTTAGAGACGATGAATATGATCAGTATGGCTTCTTTTGCAGTTCAGATGTCTGCCTCCCTCCTTGTTTAGGTTCCCAGTCTGCATGATGTTGAGAAAAAAAGGAGGGATGGTGTCTGGAAGTTGGATTCCTTCTTTCTAGGAGAGAGGTTGCAGCTCCATGCATCCAAAATCAGAATTTAGAAAAGAGAAATAAGGTTTGACATTGTCAGTGCTGTTTAGTTTGCTGCTTTTTGATATATATTGCTGTTTCTTGAGTGTGTTACAAAGATCCATGAAAAAGTGCTCTAAGTTGTCAACAAGGTTAAGTATCCACGCTGTTGGGTTTCTTGGTTAGACAATGCTGAAAGTTAAAGATTAGATGTGTGTTCTAATTGACTGGAGAAAGCTGCCTCTAACCTCCATTAATATCTTTCCAAGAAACTATTAATCTTTGTAGTCTGCTGAAAGTGGAAATTCAATCAGTCTGCTTCAGTCATGACTCTTGTTATAAAAATGTAATAGGTGCAGGTTTTACAGGTCTTCAGAATTGCATATGGGAGTGAAAGCTCAGGGGAACTAGTTCAGGTTTCTCAGAAACCTGAACTTATAAAACATGATTTATCATCAAGACAACAGAGGAAAGTTTTTGGAGCCCTCATTTTACTTTTTACTGAAGCAGTAAGGTCGCTATTTTCTTTCTTTTGTTTCAAGTGTGATGTAGTAATCTGCATTATAGCTGAGTCGGTCTTCTTGTTCCAAGGACAGTGTGTGGTAATAATAAGGCCATAATCTCATTTTATTTACCAGTGTTATGACATCCAGCTTCCAGAAACTGCCTCCAACTGCCTGTTTGAGGAGGCAGAAACAAAAGGGCCCGAAGAGTGGATTTAAATCTCTTTCTTAGCACAGTGCATCCAGCAAAAGAAGCAAGGCCAGGAGTGCAGCAGTGTGGGGAGAATTCTGTTCATATGTCTGGTCTTTGATAAGAGAAAATTCACATCCCCCATTCAGTTGTCTTTCAGAAACATTCAATTCATTAAATTTCTGGAAAAGTTACAACTTTCTGCACACTTTGTGTTGCACTTTGCAACAGCCATTAGAAAAAGTCCTTGGTGCACACTAAACAACAGTGAGGAAGTTATTTTCAGAGCACTGCCAGTGAATTTATTCATATTCTAAATCAATGTTGCGCTTGAAGTTCATTGACTCTTTTCCCCCTTTGTACTGTTAGCACTAGTGCTGAAACTGATTATTTTCCCTCTTTCTTTATAGTATGCCTGGGATGCAAATGAGGAGTACCTCTTCAAAGCAATGGTGGCGTTTGCAATGAGAAGATACTCCAGCAAGAGCACAACTCAGTAAGCGTCTACTTTGATTTCCTCTGTATATATTAACAGTGCTGCACGCAGTGGACCATGCTCTGCTATACTGAACTGTAGAAAAGAGTATGTACAGCTACAGAAAACAAACTGCTCCAGTATATTGCTTTGAAACCCAGATATGAACAAACATCACGCTCTCTGTCCTAGGCCGCATTCAGTCTTCGGCCCCATTCCCCCTGTTGATACAGACTGACACAGCCCTGGACCTCAGTGGGTCTGCACCAATTTACTGTAGCAGCTTCCAGCAGTGAGACATGATACCTTCTGGAGAACAGACCGAGCCCAGGGGCAAATTGGTAGGGTCAGAACTACCTTAGGGGTCCTTGCGTAGGCAGCTTTAATGTGCATTTGCTTAGCATAGAGCTCAGGGGTGTGCTGAAGATGGGCTGGCTCAGGGAACTGGAAAATGGGTAGCTGTGCTGGGTTGTGCTAGGGAATATCTGTCCCTAATGTTACAGCTGCTGAACTGCCTCATATCGAGAAGTTTCAGATGTTGCAGTTCAGGATATAAATCAGCCACTAATTGGGTTTGGGATTAAATCCACCCTGAGGTATTGAGTATTCTTCTCAGGCTTCTGATCCTTGCTGCTTATGAAATTGAATACCAGATTAGACAGACCACTCAGCAAGCTGTGTCTTCAAAATATTCCTCTCTCTCTTAAACAAGAAACAGTGTCAGTGTATTTCCTTAGGCCTATTATTTTCGTATTGTTTTTCAATCTTTACAAAATGGTCTTATGGTTCTGGTAGGCTAACAAGGATAAGGTTTACAATTTAATTGCAGAGAAGCTGCTTCAGGCTGACTTTGCATCAGATGCAGCATATTCCACATTTGCAAAGACATCAGTTAGCTTGAGTTACACAATGTTAACTCTGGCTCCAGCATTTTTTCTCAGAAGGTGCTCTCCCCATCCACGTAACAGAAGTGCTTGGTTCCTTACTGTTTCATTTTGATTCCTCAGAAGCTGCTTCCTTTGAGCAAGAGAGCTATTCCACCAAGCTTTAAAAACAGCCAAGTATCTTCTGATAATTATAAAAACATGATTTCATCAAGACACAGTGAAAATGATACTTACAGAAAATTACTTTAAGATACAAGCTAATTAAAGGTGACTATCCAGGCTTTTTTTTTTTCCCTCAGGTTTTCAGTTTAGGAATTTTAATCCAATCTTCAATCCATAAAAATTCATTTCTGTGTATTTATTTCAGTCACAGGCAGTGCTTATTATTGCTCTGTTTCTTCCCCGTCAAAGTCATGGTTCTTTGACACCCTGAAAAACCTTTGTTAGAAGTCAGTGAACTTTATCCTCTTCAAGCACCATGGCTCTCTGCAGACTCAACTAATATTAGAAAGCTTGGTATAGGAATGGAAAAAATACCAAGATAGTATGAAAAAAAAGTTAAATTATTAATGGAAATTAAGTTTATTCACCTCGCGAATTCACTGAATTTATGCTCGCTTAGTTCATTTTCCTACCAGGACACTATTCCTATGGATAAATATGCTAACGTCAGTATAATATTTGGATTGCTCCCAAATCTCGAGGGACACTGGAGTCCCTCCTGTGCTGTGAGGGAGAGCTAGACAAACTTCTCAATATACCCCGAATAACCTGCCTTCTACGTGGTGGCAGGGAAGAGATGAAAGTCTCCATCTGGTTAGATGTTCCAGGAATACTCCCCGCTTTCCCCTACCTTTGTGGGAAGGTAGGGAAGAGGAGCAGGAGGACCACATCCTCTCTCCGGTGCCCATGGAGGTGTGAGAGCGCCCCATGTCCGAGAAGGTTTGGAACCTGCTGGCTTCTGCACACAGGAGCTGTGCAGTCACCTAACTCTGGGCGCAAACGCTGCTCAGTGCCACAACCTGGATGTGACAACCACCCCTTTCAACACCCAGTCAATGTCTAACACACCCTCAGCCCTGCAGGAACAGTCACAGCTGGTTCTCCCGCTCGAGAGCAAATGCCATTAACTTCAGTGAGCTGGATCAGGAGCCAGAGATTTGTCTGGTGGATCAGCACAGCCATCGCTGCCGCCTGTCCCATTGTTGCTGAAATGCAGAAGACACCTTCTGTTAAGCTTCTGACGCTGGACAAAAGCCAGCCTGTAATGACAAGCTTTTGAATGCGCTGCTGGAAACAGTGAGTTTGTTGTTGTCTTTTCATCACCACTGAGTGATCTGACTCAGAATGAGCAGGATTGCACATTACAGCCCATTTTTTCTCTGAAGTTAATTTCTAAGCTAAAATTTAATAAATTATGGAGCCGTCTTTAATGTTTGAAGGATACGTCAAATTGTCAAGGTTGTGCGAAACAGGAAAAACATGCAATCCATCAAATTACTCAGTGATTATCAAAACAGATAAAATGAAGATTTCTTTGACAGTAAAGAAATACAAATCCTTTATTTTCTGCTCCGTATATTACCTTTTCATTTATTCTCCGTATGTACGCTCATGTACATTCATGTATGATCATGAGCTATATAAACCAACCTTTGATCTCTCAATGTTAGAAAATGATCATCTGTAGTCTGTGTTGGTAAGCCTGGTTTCTCTAATCTGTGACTCATTTGAAATAATAGACATTTATTTTGGACCTGAAACTAGTTAATCTTTAGAGAAGAAAGAATGTGAACACATTTACTTTCGTTCAAGTAAGAAAATCTCTTTTTGCTACATTTCCCCTCACTGTCCCTTGTGGAAGAAAGCTGCAGTTTTCCTCACAGAGTGACCAGATAACATCCATCAGCATTTCCTGTCTCTATAAGAGCAATCTAAGAGAGCTCTTTTCAATACTATAAATATTATGACCACTTAGAATAACAGAATACACATTCCTGGAGTTAAACCTGATATGTCGAGGTGAGCCCATGGCTCCTATTCACAAAAGGAAGAAGAGGGGCTTTCCTGTGCAGGAGGAGTTGCATGGCACACAGTTGGAGGAGGCCTGGTGCTCTCAGGAGAGCTCAAGATGGGTGCCCTGGCCTTCGAGTCCTGCGGCTCTCCCGCTAGTGACGGCCACTGCTTTGCACCCAGCTCCCTGGGAGCTCCTGGCAGCTCTGTCTTATCCCTAAGCAATGCTCTAAATCTACATAAAGGTCAATTATGGTGTTCTCAGGCCAAGACACCAGGTTTTCTTGCCTTCTATCTAGGATTGCATACATTAAAGAAAATGCAATTTAGAACTTTTGCTGTGTTGCTGTAACACTACGACCGGGATCTTTCATTCTGATGGTCTCCTGTGGTTCCCCGTGGCACCACCTGCTAACCACTTTTGGCGCTGAGGGCGATAAAAAGATGTCTACATATGTGCCTACAGGTACACTTAGCATTGTTCATCTAGACGTTAGTTTTTCTTAAAACTGGAAAGTGTGAGGCCTTCCAGTGCTTCTGCATGCTGTGAATCACACCTATATGGAAGTGCAGCAGGGAAAAGAAAATCCTATGTGCTGCAAAGCAATTCTCCCTTTGATGCTTGTTGCACTGCTATTTACTCAATCCCCCTTGAACTTCCAGTGAAAAGTGGTATTATTCTTTCTGGAGGCTGTAAGGATTTGCAGAGTTCAGATTCTGCTGATGAAAAAGTGGCAGTGAAGCCAGGTTTTTGGTGCTTATAATCAAGCAAGGATTTTAGGCATAACAGGAAGCAGAAAGAGGCAAAATTTACATAACTTTGTGTGAAGTTTGCTGCCCACCTGATTCAGTGCCTATACCTCTTAGTGCTGTGGGATGATATCATATCTCACACTGAAAGCCTTGTCACTGTAGGAAAGACCTCTTTTTGAGGAGTGTTGTTGGCTCTGTACAGCTGTAGAACATCAGGATGTTCAGACAGTCTATCTGCTGAATGTATTTTCTCTCTGGGGGAAAAACTTTACTCATTCACTACATTTTAAATACATCTGTAGGACGTTACAGAGCATTGGAACAGGCTGCCCAGAGAGGTTGTGGAGTCTCACAGAATCACAGAATGGTTGAGGTTGGAAGAGATCTCTAGAGATCATCAAGCAGGGGGGTTGGACTAGATGATCTCTAGAGGTCCCTTCCAACCTCAGCCACTCTGTGATTTTGTGATTTTGAAGCCTGACCCATTTTTGAGTGTGAAACAGAAAATCCAGTGTCGTAAATTCTCAGGTGCAAAATCTGCAAAATTTGCAAAAAAGATGCAAAATTTCCTTTGCAGATACAACTTAAGATATTCTGTGAAATCAGCAAGAATCGTTCAGCCACCAGCCAAAAGTAGGCATTTTTTTCTTCCCCTGTAAATTTTGTGCCTTGCTTTTAGTTTAGGAGGAATAAATCTCCCTTCAGTTTCAGATTGTTGCCAGCAAATTGATGTGACTATTTTTTAAAATCCCAGAGGATAGCTTTCCCCTTTTAACCATGAAAATTCTTTCTATTTGCAAAATTGACATTGTTCCAGACAAATTGGAAGTAAAAGTGGGTATTTCAGCTGTGTAAAATCATTGTTTTCCATTTTATTGAGTAGCTCTGTGGAATACCTATCTTCAGTGCAAAAAGAAAGGTTGCTGCACCCAAGTGTCCTGTTAAACGCTGCCCAAAATATTAGGCAGCAATAAATAAAACATTTCCCCAAAACACCCAGCACGAGCTGCTCTGAACAAGCCACTGCTCGCCTTACCTTAAAAAAATACATCCTTTTCTGGTTGGAGAACAGGCATTTACTGGCAAGATTTGCTCCCTCACATGATTTCCTGCCCTGCTCGGTCATTTAGCAGTCACTTAATGATGTCTCTAATGAGCCAGGAGATGGCACTGCAGAGCGGAGCTGGTGGCAGCTAAGGGCCTTCAGCTGAGGGGATGTCAGCATGGTGGAGGCAGCAAAGGGAGTGGGGAGAAGAACTGCTAGAACTGGCTTCTGAGAGGGACAGGCGATAACCAACCGTCCTAGTTAGCAAGGGTGACGAGAAGTATGGCGGTGGTTATTTGAAGGAAGGGCCTCCTTCGCGCTGGGGCGCAGCGAGGCCTTCCTGGCCTGGAGAGCGGGTGGTATCTGCAGCCTGGGGATGAGTCCTGCCCGGCGGGGCCTCTGTGCCGCGGCATCGCCTTGCTTGTGGCCACAGAGAGCTTGTGCGAAGGTGAAGCAAGGGCAGGCTCTTCCCTGGAAGTAGAATTCGTCATCCAGACTCCTGCTCTTGGCCTTCCTGAGCATCTGCTCGCTGTTTCGGTGCAAACAGCAAATCCGAATCCTGAGCGAAATTCTCTGGGGTATTTATCGATCAAGTGGAATTAAATATTTTTTTCCCACTTTTATCTCTCCTGCTATCTCTCATTTCATTCGTATGGCTTTGGCAGTGCTTTTGTGATGCATGTTACATTCCTTGTAAAGCTGTAGCAATTGCTACCGTAGACAGTGACTGTATATTACATGTGTTTGGCTGTTTTGTTACTTAGTTGCGTAAATACAATAAAAACAGATAGAAGAGGCGTCCTCTGTTATCAGCCACTGTTGTATTTATGATATAAATGTATTAGTCCTCACTGTTTTAGGTTAAATACTCGTGATAATCTTATTCCATGAGGAATTTCCAATGGTGAGTCCTTCACTTGGTGGTGGTAGATTACAAATTTAAAAGAATCTGAAAAGAGGACTTTTAAAGACACTTACATAATATGCTATGGGCAGCTGCATGCCCCGGGAGCTTCTACTACGAACTCCACATGAAGCTGAGCAGTCATTTACAACAGATAAATGTGTCACAGCATAACCTTAAAGCATAGGCCAGCGCCAATGTGATGTCTAAATTTAGCCTTTTGTCTCCAGTCTGTGCTTGACTCTGTGCAGCAAGACATCAAAGGGAATAACATCAGTTTCTTTGCTTTTCACCCCTCCTGTTGACTCTGGCTTCTCTTCCAGCAAATGTAGCTTGCAGAAAGATTGAACTCACATGAAAATCATATGAGGAATCCCCCATGCCCGAGTCATCGTGGTATTACCTGTTAAACATGCAGTTCTTGGTTCATCAACATTACCCAGCCTTTGTCATGGCCCTGATGATTAAGATGTATATTTTTTCCTTTTAATTACACTAGATAAGTGTAATCTGAGATCTGAGATAAGACAAGCTTGGGACAGATTCAAAAATGCATTTGAAGACTCAAGTTTGATGTCAATAAGCTTACTTTTTTATCTTGTTGAAAGTGGGAAGTGCTGTGGGTAATATTTCTTCCTCAGGCATTAACTGTTACTTAGAGGTAAGACCTTTTTCCCCTCCTTAGATGAAAGCAATGTTTTAAGAACACCTGCAGTGTTTAATAATTCCTTCCATTCTTCCATCCACAGGATTTCCAATGTGCTGCTCTGCAACGTGACAGATCGGGTGTCCTTTTGGTTTGTGGTCACAGATTCTGCCAAAAATGTGACGACTGTTCCTGGAAGTGAGGTAGAGGCCGCTATCAGGTACAGTCCCTTCTTCTGCAGCCTGTCCTGCCTTGCTGACTGAGGGTGCTTTCTCTCTGAGGGCCTCATAGGAGGGAGCTCTCTGCCTCTTTAATGTTGAACTGAACCACGTAGTGTGAATCAAACCAAGAGGTCAAGCATGTGAGATTAGATATACTTTTAACAGTGCCATGGAATTCAAAGTCTGCAAGCCTTGGGATTGCAACTTCAGGAGACTCTCTTAATGGTGGAATCTCAAAATCTCATCCCCATTTGCTATCTACTGTGTGACACATGCACACTGGTCTCATTCAGATGCTACATGTCTCAGTGACAGAGCCTTTTTCCCCAAGTGACTGAATTTCACCACTTTTGGATGGGATTTGTCTCATTTAACTTAAACTGCATGTGTAGGTGCTTCTCCACCAGGGCTAATGAGCCTAGGCTCCCTTTATGGAGTCTGATGGTGCAGGTGCTTCTGAGGTAGAGTTCATCTGACTTAGTTTAGAAGTCACCTATCAGATGAGGAAGGCTCAGAGTAGGCTATGTCCCAACCTGGTTTAAATAATCTTATACTCACATTTTTCTCATACCAACTCTTTCTAGAATGCAGCCACTGTCGTAGCTGAGCATGACATGTGGAAAGCACTGTGTGGTACAGAACGGTGCACTTTCCACTAAGTATCACAATCTGCAGCTCATAAAAACAAGAAGTGGGGAGCTAAAGAGGTGAAAAGAAAAACAGGTAATCTGCCTGCAGTGGCCTGCCAGCCCAGCATAAGGGATTTATAGGGATGACTCCCACAGGCCACATAACCTGTGTACGTTTCTCAAGCACTGAGTGGAAAAACAGACCTCTTTGTCTTTAGACATTCTGTACTTTGTCTTGAAAATGTGTGTTATCTTTATAGAGGTGTAATGCCTAATTCCTGATGAATGAGTATGCGTTCTTCTGGAAAGATTAACTTTTAAGCTTATGAGCAGATTAAACTATTTCCTACAGAGAAACCAAACAATAACTTCATAGCATTAGTAGGGGAAGCAGATTATTTATTCCCTGAAGCTCTCTAAGAGTGCTGGAATGCAGGTTTTTTGCATTTCTGTTATTCTTTGATACATTCAGTAGCATAAGCTGATTTATTTAAATCTCTTATATGCACTGTTTACCACAGAAATCGTGTGCTATTATAGCATGTTTGCTTTGTTTTTAAACTGCTGTCTTTTTCCAGGAAAAAAGAATATGCAATTTATTGAAAGTTCAAATTCCTGCCTTACTTAGAAACAAGAAATAAAATGTTCTATACAACTACAATACTTTTTACTCAGTTGTTTCTGATTTCAGGCTTCCATACTAAATTCTTTATGCTACAGAGGCGTGTAAGCTACTCATGGACCGGCGTTTTAGTGTGTGAGGTTCTCTAGAAATTGAGAACAAAAAAGAGGGCCAGCTGTCTCAATTCCTCATCTGAGTCCCAGAATCTTGTATAAAAATGAGGATAAACAATGATTTTTTTTTCAACTGCTCACAACAATCCATAAGGATGAAAATCACTTCAAATCGAGCAAGGTTTACTATATAATGAGTCTTTTCACATGCCTTGGCTTTCACTTCTCACCAGGAATGCTAGCTTTCCATCAAGACTAAAAGCTTTCTGTTTAAGGGGTAGTCAAATGTTACAATTTCTGAAGGAATTTGCAAAATCTTATCTGTATCTCCCATATATCTATTCCTAGGAAATACTTGCAGTGTGGTGAGTAGATTGAATTGTATACAACGAAACTGCTTTGAATTGTAGTACTGCCGTCAGAAAGACTCTTTCAAGGCCAGTGTATGTAATACATTTTCTTCAAAATTTTCTAACATTTTGCAAAAGCTGAAGCTATGGCTACAGCCTTTCATGGCTACTTAGTTTCAGATTCAGGAATAACAGGAAATGCTCAGAAGTAATAAATGTGGAGGAATATATCCACTGAAGAGAGATCATTGGCAACAGTTGTACTACTCATATTAAGAAGAATATTTCTCAGACTTGCAGTTTCTCATAATGGAAAAAAAATGTGCAAAGCACAAATCCCTTTAGCTGCCTCCTGCGGGGAAGAGGGGCATGTTGGCAGTGGGGGAGGCTTCTTCTGCAGCAAACTATGACCTGTGCCTCATGAATCTAAGATAAACTACAGCAACAGGACCAGATGCACAGGCACATAACAGGCAGGATGGGTCAGTCTGAGGAACTGAGGGCCAGTGACAGGCAAGCCCTCTGATCATAGAATCATAGAATGCTTAGGGTTGGAAGGGACCTCTAGAGATCATCTAGTCCAATCTCTGTCACTCCCATGCCATTATGGATGCTGCACGAGCTCAGTAACAGAGCCAGGGATGACAGCCTGTTAGGTCTTGAGCGCACGGGACAAAACACAAGCAATTAACAATACTGTACTTCAGGTCTCATCTGTGTTTCCCAAGTTTTCAAATAAAATGAAATGGGCATAAAAAGTTCTGCTGCCCAAAACTTTGCAAGTGGGTGAGTGTGTATGAACTATGCAAAACTGTTGGGCTATACAAAAGTGAAAGTCCATGTCATCCTTATGATCATCGTGCTGAATATCAAATTCAGCTTTGCCAGACTTGCAGCACTTAAATGAAAATTCATTTTTTCCTTCCTTTGCTTTTTTTTTAGTTATAAATACCATTATAAAGAACTGTCATCTGCTTGTGTTTTTATGAAGGATGAATCGGAACAGAATCAACAGTGCTTTCCTACTGAATGACAAAACACTGCAGTTCCTGAAGATATCCTCCACCATATCACCACCCGTTGAACCCTCCACACCGGCCTGGCTCATCGTATTTGGTGTCGTTCTTTGTCTCACTGTGGCTGGGATTATTTTCCTCATTGTTTCAGGGATTCAACGGCGCAAGAAGTAAGCAGCTTCACTCTTCTGTTTTAACTGAATGCTGTGAGCAAGGATGGTTTTGCCTCTCAGATCAGCCTCAGAGAAACTGTAGCTGTAATCCTTCCCTCCTCCGTAGCTAAAGATAACTGTTTTGTCCTTTCCCAAGCATGAGAGTTAAAACCTTGAACAATGAAATAGTAGTTGTGTGGGTGATGCTGGGGTATAGTGAGGAAACTGGAAGGATAGCGGCCTTGGAGATACGTGTTAAATATCTCCTTGGAGAAAGTGGAAATATGTGTTAAAGCTTTACAAAGAGGTTTGCTGCCAGTCTTCCCAAGGTTTGGGCGCTGTAGGTGAGCTGCTGCTCGCAGACTAGCCAAATGTCTAGTCAGGGGGAAGGCTTGCAGCGACTGCCCTGTTCAGGGCAGTCGTGTCAAAAGCCAGAAGACTTTTGCTGCTATCAGTTGAGGAGCCTAAGTATAGGATACGATAAGGAATAACGTGTAGCTGAAGAGATTCTGTTCAGTGAATTGGTGCACGGCCTTACTTAACGTTCATGACCTGAGGAATCCAAGGGACCCAGCCCTTCAGAAGTTCGGGTCCAGATTTCTCCATGAGTGTTTGAGATTTGGCAATAAAGACAGCAAGAGATACTTGCTTTTTCTCTCACTTTCTGCCCCATGACAACACTGATGAAAAAGCGAGGCTACTCATGGTTCCCTAGTGTGGGGGAACTGAAACAGGCAAAGGAGTAGCTGGGTGTTTTGGTCGTCCCATCTCTGTTGATTCAAAGTTGGGCGTGAGGAATAGAAATTTCTCAACTGAACTGAGCTTCTTCTGTGGAATTAAGAAGTAGCTGAGCTTCTGCCCCAGATTATGTTGTCATAGATGTTAGGGTAACACAAAATTATGACTTCTACACTAGAATCCTACCGAAGTAGGAGATGAACTCAAAAAGGGTGCGTTTCTGCCATGAGCTAGATAATGTAATATTGGATGTATGGTAGACTGTATCACCAAAAATATCAGTGCAACAAATTCACACATGAAAAGCAATATGTTGCTGGGATTTTTCAATTCTGCCTCCTTATCACCTTGAAAGACAAAGATAAAACATCTCAGAAAATCTAAATCTCTTCAGTGATATTTTGGATTCAGAAGAGTTGTGTGATTGTATGAAAGCCCTTTCAGTGTTTAAAAAACAAAACAAGCAATAGATGCTGTTGTGGGGAACGAGGCTAGACAGGTACTTTAGATCTGCATATAGTTTTAAGACCTGCCACAACCTTCCTTGCGGTCTGGACTGTGTCATTTAATCCCCTGAACTCAGAAAAATTCTTCTGAAAGCCCTGTACTTGCCTTCTGTATAATGTCAAGGTCCTATGTAGCTGTAGAGCCCTAGCTCTAAGGGATCCTTGAACATCTCACATGAGCGTAGTATAAATAAATTATACTAAGTAATCATGATTATCCAGCTAAAAATAATCCTTTGTGGTTTATATCAGGCTGAAAGGACAGTATTTTCCTTATCTGTTTTCAAAATTAGCTAGGCCTGAAGTGTTCCCATCAATATAGTATAAACTGTATGCTCTTATCTCCAGTATGCCAGTAACATGCCCCTGCTGCTGCTCACCTGTGGTCACCTGGCATTTTTCATCCTCTGTGTTTTGTGTTCCTGTTGCCCCTTCTGTTGTTTTCCTTCTTTCCTTGTTTGTTCACTCTGTTTTCCTACTCTGCCTAAGAATGTTCCTAAGAATGGATTAATCTGTGATTTAATTCAAATCCTCCTTTCAAATCAGTGTCATGGCAGGGTGAGAGAGAAGGTAATATAAAAGTGTAATTGTTCCATCTACTGCTGCAAAGCCTGGAGAGGTCAAAGGTATGGCCTGGACAATTTGGCTTCTCAAAAGAAGAGCTAGACATTAGAGAAGAGAATTTCCAAAGTGCTCATCCCTTTTTCAGAGACATGACCAGGTTGACAAAAAGAGTTCAGCACATTCAGCATTGAGTTTTACTGGAAACCTGGGCAGAGCTGACTTAGTGGCAGCTCTGTTGCTCGGTAAGCTCAGTGTGGGAAATACAGGTGCAAGAACAGTGTTGATTACTCATAAATGTGGCATTTTGTCTTTACTGGACTTTAAAATAGCAGTTAAATACCCTGTTTCGGATAAGTACAAAAGCATGTGCTTGAGCCCATTTGTGCTCAGGGTAGCAGAAAAGCGCATGATTGGCCTAAAATGGAGTTTCACTAATGAGTTAGACTCGTTACATCATTTCTTGAATTGGAAGATTTTCTTAATCAGGTCTTCACTGTGCCAGCATGTGAAAATCTAAGCCCCAACAGCCTGCAGCTTGAAGTCCTATTAAAAGATCTGATCCAGCTCCAGGTAATGGTAACCATCGACCTTACAGCAAACTGGATCAGAAACTCTGTCTCCCTGCTCTGTGTGTTTGTTCCTCTGCCATCACAGCCATACGACATCTCCCTTCCTGGTAGCAGATTTTGGCACATAGCCAGGGCAGGGCCATCCTCTCCACTGGCTACCCTAGGAGAGACTGAAGTCCACCCCTGCCTCCAAAATCCTGGCTGCAGCAGGGCCATAAACATTTGCCTTGTGATGAGCTGAATTTCATCTTTAAATATGGAGGAACCCACAGTGGATTTCCCTTCCGTTAAGTTGTTGAATCTCTCCTTGGACTTAGGAATTTTTAGTTTCTCTGAATTGCTTCGGCAAGGAGTTACATACATCTACTACTTTTCTGATTTCTTTGGAATTTGTTTCCTACTATCTTCCTTTATGTTATGCCTCCACACAGTTATGCCTCCACCTGTAGCAGTAGATATGACAGCCAGAGGCCAAAGGTTTTCATTGCCACCCCTCACATTTATTTTTAGAGAGTCTGTAATACCAAGAATCTTCCAAAGGCCAATAAAATTTTATCATTGCTAATATCACTGTTATTAGCAATCGTACTGAGTCAGGTTGTTACGATTGTCCTGAGTCAGATTGTTACAGTGTGTGTTGCAGGATAGGAAGAAGCAATGGAGCTGACCTTTGAGTTCCTTATCCTCCAAAGCCGCTGATGCTGCAGGCTGTAAAGTACAGCAGGTTTTTCAGCTATGAACTAGGAGATCTCAAGGTCAGAATAAATCTGGAATTAAAGGAACATTGTGACATGTTGAATGATATTTCTGCATTACATTTACTCGTGGTTTTATTTTTTTTTTGCATCATTTTATTTATTAAGCAGCTGTTTTAGTATGGTTGTGGGGAGAGTAGGAGCCTGGAAAAGAGAAAAGCATGCAATTGTTTAATTTAGAGCACAACGGCAGAGTAAGATATGGGGGCAGGAAGGTGGCTGTTAATGCAGTTTGAATTAGAAATTCAGATTTGTAGCTATAAGAGTCCCTGACTTCTGAAGAAGATTATCAAGGAGTATGGAGCACTCAGTCTCCATCATTGAAGGTTTTAGTCAAAAGCTGTTTGGTTGCCAAAAGTATGTTTTAATTTATCCACATCACTGAGTGAAATCTATGAAACACGTAACGGGGACATGCTAGATGAGTAGTGCAGTGCTTCTTGGCTTAAAGGGAAAAACGGATTTGGAGATTTCATTCCATCTTTCTCTTGCAGCAACTTTTTCCTCTCCCTCAAGTTATTTTAGAGAACAAGAAACAGAAGGAATATTTGCCACATATTTACAGTATATTTATGTTAGGTTTTCTTATTCCCAATCCTGATTTTAAACCACAAAATAAGCTTCCAGTCTGGTCCTCCCATTTCCATTTGCGTTTACTACAGCAAAGAGGCATTTACACTCTGCCTATGCAGAGGGATGCCTGCCCTTGCACATATAGGTCATTGCGAGCCAATGCAGCTGGAGTCAGAATAACAGCAAGTTATACTGGGGAGTCTGCACCAGATTATGGCTCTCAGTAACTAACCTACAATGCAGCTCTGACTAAATGTGCAATTTTTTTTATGTATGCGGACTTTTGGTAGAGTGCTGCAGGTCAATAGAATAAGATGATTTTCTCTTCCTTGTTTTTAGAAAGAATAAAGAGTCGTCAGATACAGAAAATTTGGAAGAAAAATGTGAAGTGACAGTAACAATAGAAAATGGGATTCCCTGTGAAACACTGGATTTAAAAGCAGGCCACATTAATGGAGTCTACACAGCCGATGATGAACGGTTCGCGTCCTTATGAAATGCTGCCATTCCTGGCTGGTGTGTTTTTGAAAGACTCTTATGCCTACTTTATCTCGTCACTACTCCTGAATGTCAAACATGAAGACAAGAAAAAATGTCCTTTCACTTAATTTCCCTTGAGAGAAGCTTTTGCTGATAACATATTCACTCAAACCCCCATTACGGAGCTTTTGTTCGTGAGCAAAGCAAATGAGAAGACCTCAAATGATAGCTGTTAAACATTTCTAAAAGATGTGCGGTAGAACAGGGTTGAAGCCTGCCTTGTGTCAGGCATTTAATTTTTAATAATTGTTTAAATAATGCCTATTTTTTTCCCTTCTATAAATGTGAAACTGCGTTATTTTCCTGAATGTCACAGAAGAGATCATCTATCATTGTCAGTTTTTGCTGGGCTTTCTTTTAAGCCATGTGCAAAAGTTTCTCTGTAACCTGATTTCTGTGTGCTGATTGGTCACGCTGTTGCCTGGAATAGAGATCAGTGCATGGAAGTTTTAACTTGTGAGGAAAAAAGGCCAAGCTTTCTGGCCTCGGTAAGAGCAGGTTAGAAAGTGTCAGCACCATCCATAGCTTTTGAACTGCCAAACATTTGGTCCTAAATGTGTTTCACACTTAGCAGTCAAAGTCACAGGTTACATGATCAGGAAATTAAAAGTTGCAAAAGTTTGAAAAAGTTGTAAGACACAAAGGGGAGATTTTCCCTAAAATGCAGACTGTGATTCCTGGACCAAATTTTAATAAACCTATAAGGGCATTTTGCAGCTCTTTGAAAAATCTTACTTATATTTAATAATCCTAAAACTAGAAGAGATTTCCAAAGGACAGGGCACACTCAGAGTTAACTGAACTTTTGATGTGACAGGTTTCCAAAAGCTTCAGTACTTGAAGCAGCAGCCCTGGTCTTCATGCATCGCACCTGGGTGGAAGCCCAAAGGCAATGGTGAGAAGTCCGGAACCATCCAGACCTCTGTGTATGTGCCTGGAAGCTGAGGGCACCAAATCACACCGGGCCCTAAGCTGCATGGTTAGATTTCAGACATATGTATAGTCTGTGTTACCCATGTCCTAATCCTGCTTCTATCTATCTGAATTGTTTTGATTTGAATCTGATCTTGAATTCTGACTGATTTCAGAAGAAAAAAACTAGGCCCAAGTAAAGAATAGCGAGAATGGCAGTGTGCTAAGCAAAACATGATCCTGCAGCCACCCAACAGCTGCCCATGTCACTTGGGGTGGGATTTAACCATTATCCATGCTGCTTCCAATGTCACGTTTGGAGGCAAATCAGAAGACCCCTTCACTTATTGGCATTGTTTCATGTATTCAGACTCTTCACCCACAATAGAAAGATGAGAAAAGCGCCTTGCAAAGGACTCTCCAGTGTCCCGAAGAGTAGAAAGACTTCTCGTCTCCCAAGGTACAAACCCTTCAGCATTTTGTATGTATTGGGCATCTTCTCTGACAGTTCTTTTAACACAACTCTGGCTCTGGGGAATGGGGTGAGCGGAATGGGGAGGAAAATGGGGAAAGAACCAGGTACAGGAGGGAAACTGAGCATGTGAAACCCTAATATAGGTGAGAGGAGGGATAAATATGAAATAAAACCATGCCACTCCAAAGCGTTTGCCTTACTTGGTCTCATCTTTCATGTCCTGATAGCGGGTCCCTGTGGACAAGGAATGTGTCTTATCTGGGCCCAATACGATGTGCTGCCCAATTCTGGACAAGGATTACTAAAAGTCTGTTATTGATGATAATATTTCTGAGCTTCAGATTGCCATGAACAACATGGAGATACATTTTTCATGGGAATCTCAAGCGTTAAGTTTGTGAGTATTTGGAGGAAAGATACAGATAACAGTATAATTACCACAGCTTGTTGGTCCAAGGTCTTCTCAGTCAGACAGAATTTTCTTTAGGCTATTTGGATCACATCAGTTTTTTGATACCTTCACACTTCTCATATTCTTTGTATGACCGAGAGTTACGCTACAGTATGACCCCATTGCATTGCTAGGACTGCAACACCTCTGCAAGAGCCAGGGAAAGACTTCTCTAAGAAGAGCTGAGCAGTGTAAAGAGCAAACTCAAGCTACTAATTAAAAATCACAGTTATTCTGTATTGCACTATGTGAGACTGAAATAAAATTCAAATCCCCTTGATAGGAAAAGAGGCCAAATACACCTGAACATACTTTTCAAGGCATCGGTGAAGGTCTAATTCAGCCCATGGCACTGACCAGCAATTAGAAAATAGATTGATAGCCTCTGAGGGAAACACTGCTGTGATGTGAGCTGGCTCTGGTGGTAAGTATTTAATCACTGACTTCCTCCCAGCTCACCTCGTAGCACTGTAATTACCTTACAGCAGCTTGGCATAATAATCTGCTAATGATGGTGTGGGATTCACCCAGAGCATACATCTTGCTTACCTCTGTGCTGACAGAAAATGTCTTGAGGGATGTAAATGGTACACGAACAGACAGGTGTCATACTTAGCATTGCTTAGAAATTAGTGTTGGTATTAGCTTTCTAATGGAAATAGGCACTGTGAGCTAGGTTATTCAAGGACACACTGCTACGGAAGTCATATCCTCTTTGTGTAGCAGAAACATATTAGAAAACAAAGAACGCTTTGATTTGGTAAAGTTTATCCTCAAGAGGCTTCAAATGGTACAATGACAATTTATATCCATTGGGGATCTGGTCCAGATATTTTATGTAACTTTTGCCATTTGCCTTTTTTTTTTTCTCTCCCCCTAAACAACCTGCTACGGAAAGACCAGGAAATAAAGATTAAGTAAGAAACAGTATAGAATATACTGAGAACTACTCGTTAAAGATAATGGTTCTGCTTTCAGACACATTTGCGCTTTCCCAAGAGATTTCAGCAGAAGAACATGGTGTACCCAAGACAACTTTTTTTTTTCCCAAGAAAAAAGAATGAGAGAGGGAAAAAGAAAATTAAGCAACAAAGCCACAGAAGTTCTGTTAGAAGAAAATCTGCAACATTTATCTCTAGCTCCACATCCCAAGTGAGTCAACATTTCAGAAAGGACATTACAATTCTGTTCAGCTTGCTGGAGAAGGAATATTTATGTCTACATTAGCATAAGCACAAATCACGCATTAGTGAATCGTTTACTGTCACTCATTACCTGCATGTTTGGAGTCCTGGAGAACATCAGGAGCTGTACAAGGCTGCCCTTAAATCAGGGAGTGAGTTGGCTGTGCAGAGCTTGGAGCGCTGCGTCCACCATGGGCTGTTTATGTAACTGAAACTGGACGTCCTCATGTGTTTATTTAGAGAAGGCAGCAAACCATGGGCAGATGCTAAAGTCCTTCCTCAAGCCCCTCAAGCTTTGCCAGTGCTAAATAGCCTGGAGGGGTTTCCTTGTGAGCCGCTTGGAGGCTGTAGCTCCTATTTTTATGTCCAGGAATGGCATTTGCCTCTATCATGCCGACCTTCGTGACGCTGTCCTGGATATGCCTTCACGAAGGGCCTTGTTTGCCCTGTATTTTGAAGTAAGACGTAATTGCAATCCTGTTCACCATTTCTGCTGTTGACAAAAGAAAAGGGTGAGGGGGACACAGGGAGTCTCAAGCAGCATTCAGATCCTGTCCTGTCATCGCTGCTGGAATAAAATAATTCCCAAATTAATACCCAGCACTGCATTAGCACCAGAGCTCCTGGTTTGATAACTAGGTTCCAAGAACTGGGTATCAGTTTCAAATAAGTAAAGAGCATAGTCACACCTTGACCAAAAAAAAAAAGTTTTTCACATGTAGCTTCCTGCATGTGGGAAAAGAAAATATTCTCTGCAACAAAGACTTAAACTAACACCCTGTCAAAGAATAAGTCTGCGTTTTGAGATACTCTGAAAATTAGGGCCCAGATGCCTTCAGGCATTTGGTCAGTTCATCAATGCAGTAACCTGTGACTCATGAAATGAGCTGTTTTAAATGTGCCAAGTTTATATAGAAAGTGCATTGACCAACTGTCCACAATCCATTAGCGGTGAGCAATCTGTGCTCAGTTTTCTATGAGTGGTTCTCTTTTGGTCCCTCGTGGTTTTTTGTTTCCTTTTAATGTGGCGTGTAAGAAGAGCTGGGTGCAATGAAGTGACACCACAGCTTCCTAAGCTGCCAAAAAATCGCTAATGAAAAATTTGCGCTGTTAGACATACCTATACTGAGTGATTGAGCTTGGTGATTTTCAAGTCATGTACAGCTGAAGTGCATTGACAGTGATGAGTGATACACACTTGCCAGCACAACTGTGCTGGGATGTTCAGCTTTGTGCATATAATGAGAATTGTGGATGCATATACTACAGTACATTTCGATTTACAACTGGATGTCACATGGCTGAACCGATGCTTGCATTTCTGTCCAAGACAGGACAGTACAGAGGAATTCCAGCTTTATAGTAAGGGTTAAACTTTATTCTCATTAAACTCAGCAGCTTCAATAGTAACTGGATTTAACTTGAGATTGTAAAGAAAAGTTTGATTTTGTTAGTTTGTCCTCTTTCTTGTTATCATGTTTTTCTTCCCCTTAGAGGTAACAACCTGAAGCTGTCAAAGCATCTATTAGCTATAGTAATGGTTAAATAGAAAACATTTCATTTTTGAGAAATGAGGATTTTTTTTTATCTGACATTATCTTTCTAACTTCTGACACTCTCCTGCCATTTAGACTCTAATTGCTACATATTGCAGTATGTACCTTTTATCAATTTTGCACCAATAGGAATTTTAGACTTTGGACTAATGTTCTCTGTGATATTGTGCCTGAATGACATTGCAGATGTTGATGTGTGGACACATGGCTGTTGTAAACCGAGCTGGGACCACTCGCTCCCTCCTTAGTTAAAATGAAATGAGCAACACTTGTTGCCTGGATGAAAAGCTGCATATCTCAGAATCAACACCATTGCCTTCGCTCTCAAAGCAAGGTGGCTTTTTGTAATGGACTAGATATAAGGAGTACAGAATACTATGCTCCCAATCATTTCCTCTCCTCTGTCTCTTTAACATATGGTCTTGATTTTGACTGTGGCCTTCTGCAATACAGACTATGACACAACATGTTGTCCTTGTTTAACCTGCCTGTTCGTACACTGCTTTCTACCATCTTGCAAATAATCCAGCTTTAATGCATTGTCCTAAATCTTGTACAAACGCTTATGTTTCTTGATGTTTAGGCAACTGTATCAGCATTGTTCTACAGATCCTGGTGTTTTCTTCAACTTACCTGTGCCCATAGGGCACCTGTCTCCTCAGTGATGCTTAACATGGTTTGCCCTGGTGAGCAACCATTAGCATACTCTGGGAGTTCAGAGGAGCTCTGCGAAAGTAACAGTGTATCTTTAATTTGGAAATCCAGTGTGTCGAGCAGCCTGTTCTGTTATCACGGGTTATAACAAGGGATGGGCTCCTTGTCTAAGGCCCTAGACTCAGCCTTGGACAAGCTGGGTGCAGGTGACTTGGTGCCTAGGGACACCAAGGGACTCGGGCACTTGGAGCTCCTCCGAGCTCCAGAGGCTTCTCCTGGCAGGGCACTGCCCGTGGCCTTGCCCGCCGCTCTGTTCCCGCTATTCTGACCTGCTGACCATGTGCTGGGGTCAGTGCTGTGGGGGAAGAGCCGGGCAGCCCAAAATGCCAAGGCCCAAGCGGAGGCTGGTGCTGTCAGTGCACGTCCTCAACATGGGAGCTGGCAGGATGGGCTGTGCTCATCGGGATTTTGTCCTCTTTGCCTCTACGCTGCTGTGTTCTCCACTTCGGAAAAACACTAAAGAGGATCCCACTGAAACCCTCTTTCGTAGGAGGTACCTCAGTGCTGCGAAAAATCTGTCCAGCCGGCTGAGGGCAGCTAGTGCGCTGGGGAATCACTTCCACCGCTCAACTCCTGGCCCCAGCCATGAAGGGAGGGCTTTTGTCAGGGAAAAGGCAGATGTCACGCACACAGAAGAGCCACTAATGTGGGAAACAGGCTGCTCTGGGGATTAAAAGGGTGATTTGCCCAGCCCCCCCGTCGGAAGCATGAGGAAGGGGGACAGAAGCTGGAGCTGCCCCATAGCGATTCCTTGGTCCCACTGCAGCCATGTCCTGCCTTGCAGATACCCCATATCACATAGCACCGGGGCACTGCCATGGGGCAGCTACAGCCCTATAGAGCCCCCCTCCATAAAGCTGTCAGTGAATAATGCTGACGTCTGTGTTTGATGCTCTGGGCAAAGAGGCAGAATGGCATAATATAACAGAGAGCTTAAGCAGTGCCCCAGCCTGGAAAATGGCCTGATAACAGTATTTTAAGCCACATGTCTAGGGGTGTCCTGTACACAACACGCTGGTTTCTTACTGAGGCATGCCCCAAAGGCAATTCTCTGTTATTGCAGACCTAGCTCCACAGCAGAGCTCAGCCAGCAAAACAAGTGATGAGACAGATATTGCTCTAGTACAGCCAGCAGACTGGTGGGCAGCTGTATAGGAAGCTATCAGGCAGCTCAGACCATGAGGACTACAGGATTGGAGACATCAGGTAGGAGCTGGGAGCTGTCACTTACACTGCAGAGATGGGGGTTGGAGGGGACATCTGGCAAACGGAGGAGAAAGAGCCTGTGCTTTCATGTCAGGTTACATTTACCCTTTGCACTGTAGCTGGCAATCTATCCTCAGTGCCTTTGTTATGAGCTAAGCAGTCTGCAGTTGCATATAACAATGTGTAATAAATGAGACCAGATTTTATCTCCCAGTTGCTCTTCTCTTGCCCAAGCCCAAGCCAAGGCTGCTGCCTCCACTGCCTTTGCTGGAGCTTTGGGTTTTCCAAAGTGCCCCACTTCCTCAGATGTTGCTGTTGTCTTTTTTTTTTCACTGCGGCAAAGACTGTCCCAATGCCCCCAGCCTTCCACACTATGCTGAAGATCTGTCTGGAAAAGACTTCTCACCTCATCCCAGAATAGACAATACTATCTCTCCCATAGACCTGCTGTTACTGCCTCAGGCTACCCCAGCCATTTCTGAGTGTGTCCCCCTTACCAACCATACAATTCTCTCAAAAGGTGTACAATTGTATACTTTTTCGTTTAACATCCAGCTATTTTGTGTGTGTGTGTGTGTGTGTGTGTAGTGCATTGTAAAAAGAAAACAAAGTGAAATGACGACTGCCAGAGTGCAGAAGTAGGTGACAAACTGAAGTAAGGAGTGGGGAGGGGAGAAGGGTGCACAGGGGTTTTGAAGCACTGCAGCCATGGCAGGCCATGGCATCTGGCCATGGTGGGGCAAGGCAGAAAGCTTGCCACAGTAGTTAAGAGCTGTCACAGACAAGTCTGTATCCAGTGGCGTCCTTCTCATCTGCCCTTAAGAGCAAATTCATCTGCCAAGCTGTGATATGTGTGGAGTACAGTGGATGGCCCCACTGTTATAACAGTGGTTTCCTGAAGCACAAGTCTGCTAAGTCAACTCCCAATTTAAAGTTTTTTCTCTCATGGTAACTAGCAGCAAGAAAGATGCAGTGAAATTCCTGTTTTATTCCTCACATGATACGTCAGTTATATCACTGAGATATGAAATACAAAAGAACTGGCCTACCCATCCCCCTCCGAAAAAAAAAGAAAGGGGGGCAGAAAAGTATTAGCACAACTCAGTTTGACTCTCCTTGCTGTTTTCAGCTCACCACAACTCATGCATACATACTTGCAAGCAAGAGCACCTCCTATATGAAATAAGCTCATGCATTTCTCTTCCTTTCCAGGTGTCCTCCAAATATCTGACTGCTCGGGGACCCCTTGGCCCTAGAGGAACCTCTTGGTGTTTCGGGGTTGTGCAGAGCCTGAAAGCGGCTGCAGGACAGAGTGAGGAGCACAGGGGAGTCCTGACTCATGGCACAGAAATGAGGGCTAGGAACCAGTGCACTGTAAAAGGGAAAAAAATAGGAACTTTTATGTAAGAGAGGAATTATGGAGCAGCCAGGCTTGTCTCAGTACCGTAAAGGTGCTGGATCAAGTGACATTGCAATCAGCTTATGAGCAGAGGCAAGAAAATAAAGAGTTAATACAAATAGCCAGCATAGCACCTGTTCTCTACCAGGGAACTTGTGTAAAGGTAACAGGCCTAATTTCCTTGCTATGACACATAACAGGACTAGTGGATAAGGGAGAAACTGTAGATGAAAAAAGAAATAAAATCAACAGCAATTTTTTTCAGCATTTCACCATTTGACAGTTTCATAAACTAAGAAAAGATGAGCTAGAAAAGAACCACAAAAGGCACCTAATTACTTAAAACTCAGCATTCATGGCTCTCAATCAAGGATAGGAGCCATTTTAAGTGGTAGCTCTCCTGGGCCCTATTGTATGCTGTATGCTCTGCATGTTGGAATAGGAAATCTATTTAAAAGTTTGTGCATACTGCCAAGCTGGGAGGACTAGCAAGAACAAGATTACAATTCCAAATGATTTTAAGAAATTGGAGAAATGGTCTGAAATCAGTGCAATGGACTTCAGCAGTATAGCAAAGCTATAGGTAGCAGTGCTAAAAGAAAGGACCACAGTAGGTCACAACTGGAACATGGGTTCTTGTTATGAGAAAACAGGTGTGTATTGGCAAGATATAGCACCTAAGATATAGATAGTGATTGCTTTACTTATCATTGGTAAGTTCTCAGTTATGTGTCCGTGGCGTGCTCCTCAGGCAAACTGGGGAGCATCTGGATGGCACCAACAAGACTAACATGAGTTTTACAAAATATGTCCTCTGGGAAAGCACTGAATTAGTTTTGTTTGCTTCCCCTTGAATAAAATAAGATTGTTAGAGGATTCTTAAAAGACAACAGTGATTCCTTGTCTCTGCTCCACAAGACAGAGATATCAGAAGATATCAAATCACTTTGAACCAAAGAAAACCAGGAATGAAGTTTAGCTATTAGGAAAAGCGTGGGAATGACCCCAAAAGAGGCTGTGAATTCCCCTTTACCTTAGAGAGCAGTTTAAACTAATAACCTGGAAGGAGAAACCAGGACTTATCCAAGTCGCTTCACAGCAGGTGCCTGGGCAAGATGCTTTCTCGAGGTGCCTGTTCAGCCCTTTGCCCTCAGCAAGGGCTGCAGCTCCTTTCTCAGTGTTTGGAAACCATGGGCTGATCTTGCAGCTGCCTCCGTGTAGAGTCTCAGGGTGGTTTCAGGGAAGCTGTGCTGGGAACTGGAAGCCAGTGCCAGGAAGGTGGCTGCAGAATCATATCTCAGAAAAACAATCAAAACTCACAGAGAAGTATCCAAGAGACCCTGAGTAGAAACTGGTTAATTCAAAAAGTATTAAGGTATTGTCTGATCAATAACACTTAGCCTAAAGCGAGGGAGGGACCCAGGCTGTACTTCCAGAACTTATTCATGCATTGATTTTCCCATTGATTTACAATATGTACCAGGCTCCTTGTTAGGTTAGCAGAGGTATTTGGATATTAAACTGAAGTAGTTTCATCTAAGTAGTTTCAGTGCATAAATCCAATTGATTTATACCTATTTTCCTACACAACATGCTTTCCTACACTACATCCCGGGAAGTCTTGTTCCACTTGTTCCCTGAACGCCTTTAAAAATCTGGTCTTATTGGCCCCAGTCATTCTGAGAATGATGCAGATGATAGATACTTCAGATCGCACAGGTTTTGCAAGGTCTTTTCAAACTTGGGCCTAAGCACCCAGCCAGATACCCTATGTCAGGGCAACATGGAATTTCTTTCTTCCTGCGAGAAAAGGTCATGACTTAGCGTTTCAGTGAAGTTTCTAAATATTTTTGCAGCTTATCATAGCCTGTTAAAGGATTCACAGATTCTGAGCTACCAAAGACACTGGCAGGCTATAGATAAAATGACCAGCTGTATCATTGACAGCACATTTGGGAAACATTAACCAAAAGTAAAAGCCTTTTATAAGAAGGCCATAAAATGGTAGGAGTAATTATGTTTTTCCAAAGTTAATCATTGACTTTTGTTTATTTGACTTTTTATAAAAACTTTTTCCTTTTTCTCCTGCAATGAATAAAATCTATAAAAGGCCTGGCAATTTGGATGCAGCCTCTTTTCTTCGCACAAGACATTCATAAGGGCTGATGAGACAGAACTTGATAAAGAAGCGTACCTGAAGAAATCTTCTTTCTTGGGAGGTTCTCAGCCCAGATAAAAATATGTTGGTCCACATCTGGCTTCTCTGTGGTCTGAGTATTGTTGTGACCCCACAGGATGTCACACAAGAAGCCCAGATGTTTCTGGATGAGTTTAATGTTAAAGCAGAAGACATCAGCTATGAAAGCTCCCTTGCTTCATGGAACTACAACACCAACATTACTGAAGAAACATCCATAAAAATGGTAAGTGCTCAGTCCTGTCTGCTTTACTATTACTTAAGGAATTTGGTGGTTATATTGTCATTTATTTTAGTTCCATGAAAGTTGGCTGAAATTTGGCTCCTGCTTCATTAGTAGCAGTGTTTTAGCTTCATAAAGAGAGAGTGGCTTGATTAAGCAAAATGATGTCTAGCTTAAGGTACGTGGGCTTCCTACAGCTCTAAGTCTGGTACCTGTGCTGCCTTCATACTGCATGAGGAGAGTTGGCCATCGATGGACTTATCCCAAAACATCACCCTGAGGCACCTCAGCAAGGGGAAAGAAAGCATGAGAGAGCATTGTGCATTTGGCTTGTTTCTCGGAGGAACCTAAATCTGAGATGGCAAGAAATAAGTATGTCCATTGAGGATTTACTCATGAAATCGTCCTGGTACGATGTTTCTAAGCTGGAGACAATGCAGCCTAGAGATGATGGCCTTCTCCCAAAGATTGGGGTTATGTACTTATCTGGGATGTGAGAAAATTGGATTTGAATCTCACTTGAGCACAGACTTGTTACCTCTTGAAAAACTAAACAAGCCACTGGGTATCTTCTTACTGGTTTTAACCACATTTTCTCATGGATAACTTATTCTCTGCTGCTAAAGTTACTTTACTCTTTTACTTCTTGCTGAATATGTAAACATTTTCTGGACAAAGACATTTTTAAAAATATTTTCTGATGGTCTTTAGTGGTATGTATTGTACTGAATTGTGGCTGAAACCCCTTCCTTCCATTATTTCTGTTGTAGTTAATGCTATTAGTGGACTACCTGAAATAATTGTATTGAGAAAGGTGAAGTGAGATCATAGATTTTTAAAAGGCATCAGCATAGTTTGTAGTGCAGTAATCTAGTATACTGGCTTGAAAGTCAATTTATAACTCCAGGAAGGGCCATAGCACTTGTACTTAGATACCCTGCAATACAGTTCAGCCTGCCTTTGACACCAGTTTCTAGCTCTCCCAGTCAAGGTGGTCTCTAGGCAAATATCATGTTTACCAAGAGCATTCAGCCATGATCTGACTGGTTAGTGATACTGTCCTGCTGCAGCCTAGCATCTCGTAACCTTGGAGCCCTTTACAAATCAACAACAACCACCGTGAATGTTGTAGTTACATGCATTTCAAAGTTAACCGGATTTTTTTTTTTAACAATTTAGAGTATAAACATAGAGATTAATATCCTACATCTACTTTTGTATAATGGCATAAGCCACACACTTTGTGGCCTTATAGCATAATTAAAAAGTGGTTTAATTATAGTTTTTCTTAATTAAAGCAGGGAGACTGGTTGCTGGAAGACATCCTAATGACTAATCATTGTCAATCTGGAGTGCTTTCTGAGGCACCAGGTACCTACACTGTAACATTTCCAAACACTTAAAATGAAAGCCCCGTATAGCACTTTCAGCATTAATGAGATGATAATAAAGTACATGAGGAGATACTGGCAATAAGAAGCAATTAGTTCAGTGCTCACAGAGGATGTATTCTCTAGCTGGAGCTCTTTAGTAACTCTAGTAATAGAGCTCCATTGCTTCCACTCCTCCCTTTCTGTTGGGGGACGAGAGTTAATGTATAGCGTCCCTCTTGGCCCCTTCTCATCCATATAAATTGGGTCACAAAATCCGTAACTACTTCTACAGCTTCTCAACTAGTTCTTCTAACTGAGAAGAAATCAAACAGCAAGTTAACTCCTTTCCCTTGGCTTTTCTAACCAAAGAGCCCCCTCTTCTGCCCCGTAGCACCTAGCGCGTGTCTTCTGCTCTGCGCAGGACGAGTAATGCAAAAAGAAGGTTTGCACTAAGCTCTTGCCTGCTGGCTCCTGCGCAGGGCTGACAAGGGTGGCCCCACTTGCTCCGTCCGCGGGCGCCTGCACAGCAGTGGGGACAGAGTCCACCAAGCTGCTGCAGGGCTGATGCCAGCACTGGTGCCCCCCTGCAGAGGGGTGGCGTGGGCAAAGGGAGGCACAGGAGGTCTCGGGAGCGGTGGGATGGCCAAGGGCTGGTCCCTGCTCCAAAGCCTGCAGCAAAGGCTGGGGGTTTCACCACGCGCCGGGTGGCACTTACAGCTGAAAAGAACAGGCGCCGCTCCACTGAGAGCATTGGGCTTGTGCTGGCGCAAGGGTGGCTTGTTCAAAGAGAGGAGTGGTAACTGCATCCATTTCATCCTGAAGGCATCCTGAGGCCTTTCTAAAAGTCTGGTGCTAAGAAATAATGTACCTGTGCGGTGTTTTCCCACATGCAGGCCCAATGTGGGAATGACTTTTTTGTTTTCCGATGCCTCAGCCAGGAGGGACAAGTATTACAGGTGCTTCCTCCACACCTTGGAAACTCTGGCATGTGAAGAATTAATGAGAATATCTCCATGGTCCAGGCTAAGCAGTACTGTTCTTGTCTCATGCCAATGTGCTAAGCAATGCTCAAACACATAGAGGAATATGGTCTCAAATACTGTTCTTACGGTGCCATTTTGTGCATGTAAATTTGAGTTTCGCTTGTCACATTATGTAATTGCAGCAGTGGCAAAAACAATCATCTCATGCAGGAAATTCAGGTTTTGCATGCCCAGTTTAAGTACTGATTTAGAGTCTTCCACTCCTCCTCCCCAACTTTTATTTATCAAAACTTATTTTTAGTCATATTTGTGTGATCAAAGAACTCAGTGTCAACATCTTGGGTTTTGGCTGCCTCTATTGCTGCTGAAGCAGAAATGGGCAACGTGATCTGCACCATAACGCTGGCTTGTATCCCTATTTCGTTAGGCATAGATGGGACAAGGAAATCATTATAGGAAGAATACATGGTGAGCTAGACTGCAGGGAAGACAGGTGATGTTGGATTAATTATAACAAGCCTGTGGTGAGAAGGCAATCCTATTTTCCTGCTATATCTAAAGAAAATTAGTTGTCTGGATGTGTGAATACTCAAGTCAACAGTTTCCCAGGTGTTAAGTTCCACAGTAGAAGTACTGCTAAAACTTGAAACCTATGAGCAGACTCCACAGACAAAATGCTCCTCAGAAAGAGTATTTTGACCCATTAAATACACTAGGCTGCTGCAGTCTTTTAGAAGAGTAATTCAGACTTCATGTGAATCCCTTCTAGAGTGAGGCGGATGCCAAGTGGTCTGCATTTTATGATGAAGCCTCGAGGAACGCCAGCAAATTCCCATTAACTGACATTAAGGATGATCTCATCAAACTCCAGATTCAATCTCTCCAGGACAGAGGATCATCTGTGCTATCAGCAGAGAAATATTCCAGAGTAAGTTGCTAAATGTACCCAAGGTTTTGACATGTGAGCTGAGCTACCCTCCAAAATACCTCTGAAAGAGACCACTATTATCATTAATCTTTGTTTTTCTCTGGATAGTACTTTATCTCAAAATCAGTATGGAGAACATAACTTCGCTAGGTGATCTTAGCAATATGGGACTGGAAGTAATGAAGGCAGGTTCCCACGTAGGTAGGCAGCTTGCCACATAATCCGTGCAATGAATTTCAAGTTCATACATGCCCAACAGCTGCCCTTGCACAAATGGCAGGATTAGTCATAAGGGGAAAAGAGCACGCAGGCTTAGCAAAGTCAAGGCCTAGGATAGGGTAATGAACAGAAAGAAAGGGGAGAAAGAACATTCAGTGAGAGTAAAAGGTGAAGATAGAGGAGGTATTTCTTTCTCAGCACATGCCACGTTATCAGACTGAAAACGAAGGTATGTTTCTGAATACCTTTTCCTCACTGGCAATGCCAACACAAGATATCCTTGTGTGCACTGGTTTGCTCACAGCCCCTCAATCCAGGCTCTCTGTGGGGCATCACAACCAAGGAGAGAATACCAGGGTGCAGCACACACCGGGCGCGCTGGCACTCCTGAGATCAGAGCAGGTTGCCAAACCAGTAGGTGCCAAAAAGAGATTTGGCATTGCCATTGACAAATACATGCAAAATGTATGTATATGGACAATAAGAATCCGTAGAATTGGAATGAGCATCTATGCTAATTCAAAAGGGATTTATAACCAAATGCTTGAATTTTTAGATTAGTTTCCTGCTATTGGAGATCAAATTGATACCTAGTACTGAGTTAGGGTATCCTATAGTCCTGATTATGGAAGGATCCTTGGATTTTTCTGCTGAAAACAGCAGTGTTAACTACCATGCAGGAAATGTAACAGAGTGGCTGGACCTTCTGTGCTATCCAAACAAGATGTATTTCTGGACGGAGAGATTAACTGTGTGGGAATGCCAAAGGATCATAAAAATATATATGTATTTTAGAGCACAGTGGTGCATTGATGGCTTTGCTGCTTCTGTTGGGGAGCTACTTTCACTGAGTCACAGAGTCACAGAATGGCTGAGGTTGGAAGGGACCTCTAGAGATCATCTAGTCCAACCCTCCTGCTCCAGCAGGGACACCTAGAGCACGTGGCACGGGGTGGCATCCAGGCAGCTTTGGAAGATCTCCAGAGAAGGAGACTACTTTCTTCAATACCATCCACATTTAGGCACTTTTAATTTCCCAGACAAGTGGCCTTTGGGGCTGAAATTTTAGATTCTTACATGAAAAAAAATGACTTTGTACAGTTTTACAGAACTCCACAGGAATACTGAAATATTTTTAGTGATATAAAATTTCCCTGTTTGTCCACTCATTTTAATGCTGACAGAAAATGCCATAGCTGGTCGTATGCTTCCTGTTTGACAGCTCTAAATACTTCTGTTTTAAAACTTTAAATGTGGCGCAACATAGTCTTAGAGGAAAAATAGGTACAAAAAGTTAAAAACATAAAAGAAAAAATAGAATATAATGCTATGTAGCATAGCTTCTGATATGGATTTCAGATGCATCTGGCCTTCAGCTAATCCAAGACTTGAGACGTCACTTTGCTGTATTAACATAGAAGCAGATCTATACAGTCAGGGTGATGTGATGTTAAAAAACATAAGCAACAGTCTGTCTGGCAGCATCTGCAAAGGGATCTCTCTTTCTTTCATTCAAACCCACAAGCTGGCCTGGAATCTCTAGGTGTGTCCAAATTCATTAAAATATATTGCTGAACTTTATTGTTTTACTGCTGCTGTAGAGCTCTCTCGTGACAGTCAGTGTTCATTAAATCCAGATCTCTGCCTGACTGGGTATTAAGGACCTTTAGATTATGTCATGTATCTGAGAGAAATCTCTCTTTTCCAGTTAGGTCCTGATTCAATAATGCATTTAGACAAATTCTTTCGTTAATCTGTACTGAGCTTAAACATATGCTTAATCGTTAAGTCTGCGGATGAATTGAAGTCTTAAGAAATTAGCGTAATAGTCTTCTATTTTGTACAGAACATGTTTCTAATGAGCTATCTTGCATCTGAATTGCAGCTGAGCACTGTATTAAATACAATGAGTACCATCTACAGTACTGGAACAGTCTGTAAACCTAGTGATCCATCTAACTGTTTGGTGCTGGAACCAGGTACAGTACTAACAGTTGTCTATGCTATGTCCTTCACACTGCAGGTTGAAAAAGATGAGAGCCCAAGAGTGGTTTCTGATTGTGAGAGAAGAGGCTGTATTTTTAATAAAGGCATCCTGCTATCTAAAGCTTAATCTTTATTTAATTGCACTTTGAGTTCAGCGATTTCCATTGGTCCTGTTCCAGATGCAAGGTACCATCTCCTGAGTTGAGGAGATGGTAGGGCTGCTCAGTTTGTGTGACAGCCTATCTGTCTTTTGGGTTTTCTTGCACCATGGAAATCTCATTTTTTTCCCCAGTCATCAAGGTCTTGTTGGACTCAACAATGCATTGAGGCAAATCCCAACACAACAGACAATACTAATGTAAGGAAATTTAATATGGAACAAGGTAATCACCTTTAAGTGCCTCATGATCTTCCCCATCTCCCTTAAAGGGAAAAAAGAGGAACATTTAGAGCAAAAAATGATGTAATGAAAAAAACCCAGGGTTTTTATCATATCAAACAAGATGTTAGCTCCTTAGATCTAGTAACTATTCTTTGTCTCTTTTGCGTACTGTAAAAGAAAAAGGTCTTGTTCTACTGGGCCTGATACTTATCTTTTTGTTCTGGCAGGTCTGGATGCTATTATGGCTGAAAGCACTGATTATCATGAGAGACTGTGGGCTTGGGAAGGCTGGAGGGCTGGTGTTGGCAGGATGATGAGACCATTATATGAAGAGTATGCTGATCTTAAAAATGAGGCTGCAAAGCTTAATGGTAAGTTGCATTTTTTTTTCCTGACTTCCAGAAATTAAGAAACATACGATGGTCTTGCACATACCAGACAGAAAATTGGAACCTATGGGTTTATATACATTGATGAGCATTTTGAAGATATTTTGCTCTCTGTATGCACAGATGCAAAGTAGCAAGTAGTACAGACAGATGCCAGAGCTCAGATCAGAATTCTCTCTCCAACCTGGAACAAAAGATAGATATGTTTGCTCCACAGTTCTCAAATCCCATAATGTATCAATGCCCTTCATTAGAGGCTGGACTGCTTGTGACTTACGGGCAGGTATGCTCGATTTACAGACTGCTGAGTGGATCTCTGTATTCTTGGCAACACCTCTTCTTTTCCACTTTACCACTCTCCTTTATCTTGCCAGCTACAAGCACTGTCACATTTTTAAGTGTTCTGCTCTGATTGGAATTATATTTTTTATATTTCTTTTTAAGCTCAGGGCAGCAGATGCAGCTGGTTGTTGAAAAAGGATTTTGCATTAAGGGAAATATATTGCGCTACTAATCAGAGGTCTCCTAGCAAATCACAGGGAATAGTTTATTCAAGCAAAATTGCCATACAGCTGCCATTTTTCTTCGGAGGACTTCTACACTACAACATTATCACCTAGCACATATTAGCTGCATCATCTGTCTTTTGGCAAAACAACTGTATCCCCTGGCTTGAAAATTACTAAGCAGAAGCTAGGGACCACGCATGAGAAGTTATAGTCCAAATAATTAAACAGAGGGAAAAATATCTTGGTGGAAAATCTCAGGCAAGTGGAATCTCAGGAAGTCATAATTTCCCCCCACAAAATACCTTAAGAAAGAAGAAAGGAAGAGACCTCACCTATGAGATACTCCTCCTCCAGGCTTAATGGAACTATGCTTGGTGAAACCTGAAGTTGACCTTCAGTCTTTCTTTTTACACTCGCCCTGAAGGTTTTTCCTGAAGGCTAAGGCTTGTATTTAATATCCACCATTTTATACCTTCTGTGAGAATCCCTTATGATCCAGCCTGAACAGAGGCTGCCTGCCTTCACATCTGGAGGAACTCCAGACAGGATTGATGGTCTTCTTGACCTCCATTTTCAATAAGAATGATCCTAGTTAGCAGATAGCCATGACTGCAGCTTCCACTATTACTGGAAATCTGTATTCTCCTGTCAATGGAGCAGAGCCTTCAAGGAGCACTCTTCTCCCCTGTAGACAGTTCAAGGTACTGGATTGTGACATTACATGTAATTGTTTTACAGGTTATTCTGACTATGGAGATTACTGGAGAGCAAATTATGAAGCAGACAATCCAGCTGAGTATGAATACAGTCGTGACCAGCTGATTGAAGATGTGGAGAAGACATTTGATCAGGTAGAGGCTCCTTGCAAGAGCAGGAAATTGCCCTTACGTATGCCACCAGGTTGTATTTTCTGATGTCTTCAGAGATGGCCTCCATGTGTCAGTATTGTGAGGTAACATGAGACCCAATCAGAACTAGATGATCTTAGTCTGTGCAGAGTTTACAGATGGAAGTGGATGTACACAACACTTACTTCAACAGCACTTCTAGGACAACCACCGTCAAAAGATAAAAAAAGTACATGGACCTGTATTCTTTGAGTAAATGTCCTTCTCCCTGAAATGCTCTAGATTTGTTGCAAAAATTATCTTTGTAGTCAGCATTTTGGGGGCCAGGCATCCTTATCTACAGTCCCCCAGCAGCAATCTGGTGTATGAACGGTGCAACTTAGCCCTGCACGGGCTGTGTCATGCCAAAGCCAGAAAAGAAGGTGCTTTGCAGAGCCTTGTCCCTGCCATCCAGGTAGTGCTCAAGACGAGATATTTTATTTATAGGATGAATAGCATTTTTGATCCTCCAGGTCTAAAATTAGAAATGCTCCCTCACTTGTACTGAAGCAACACTTCTGGGACTAGAGTTTGGGCTCAGAGCTTGAGCCCGTGGGAGAGGGGCCAAAGCTCAGTTGTAGATTTGGAGATGCACCTAATTGACTCCAGTCAGAGACCCAGCTTGGGGGCGCTCTGTTCAGCAGACGGGAGTGGGATGGAAGAAAAACAAACTAATCTGTCTCCTTGTCATCTTCTTCCTGCAGATAAAACCATTATATGAGCAGCTGCATGCCTATGTGAGGCACAGGCTGGAGCAGGTCTACGGCCCAGAACTCATCAGCTCAACAGGATGCCTCCCCGCTCACCTGCTTGGTATGAAAATGCAGCCCTATCATGCAAGCCTGACTTGCTACACGAGGCAGGCACTTTTAAGGCATACTGGAACAGGGCAATCTGCCTCTTTAATCAGTTATGAGGAAACAGGTTGTAGATAAGGAAATGTGAGAGGGGAAAAAGAGAAGGAAAGCACTTGGCCATGATGACAGGGGCGCTTTGCAGTGAAGGCAGGCAAAGAAGGCAGCTTTATAGACCCTCACTGGAGTCTGGGGCACCCAGCATAAAACTGCAGTTCATCAGCACTCGGATTGGAACATTTACCTCCCTTCTGCAGTGCTTTTATTGCCAGGAAGTGAGAACTTCAGGCAGATTTTGTTTGTTTGCTTGCTTTTTTCTACATTCTGTTCTTAGCTCTGGTATTTCATGACTGCTTTCCAAATATGCAACAGCAAGCTACCATTACTGTAATATATTCAAGCACACTGGCTCAATGGCACAGAGTAACAGTGTGGATGTCCAGTTTGGAACAGACTTTTAGAAAGCTATTTGGTCCTGAAAATGTGTTATGTGAAAACAGCTTAAGTTGGGGAATAAAATAATCTTTGGCCTTGCTTGGACCCATGGATGACTTCCCAGAGCTGCTTTATACCACTGTAAAGGAGGATCAGAACCATTTAGACATACAGAAATCAGTGTTTATATTACAGAACTTCCACAATTGTCTAACAACTTTGAATAATATAGAGTCAATTACATAAAGTATATCCAAAGTTGCTCTCTCTTTTTTTTTTTTTTTCCAGGTGACATGTGGGGTAGATTTTGGACAAATCTGTACGCCTTGACCGTTCCTTATCCGGACAAACCAAACATTGATGTAACTTCCGCAATGGTTCAAAATGTAAGACGTGTGACGAAACCATTATCTATATACATTATGCAACAAATTTAGATGATATAGAGCCTGTACAACAAGCAAACCACTCTCTTCAGATGACTGTGTTTTTCTAAGCAACGAAAGAATTGCTTTCTTTATCCATTTTTGCCCTTCTAAATCTTCATTCATTTTCCACTGTACCTTTTCCCTTATTCCCCCATTCTTTTTTTTTCCACTCTCTTTGGCTAATCTCAGCTCCCAGTCTATTTTTCTCAGAAACATCTATCCATTAAGAGATATATTATGGAGATATAAATATTTCAGGATTTATGGAGTTGGCTGGAATCAAATATGACCTTTGTCAGCCATTACCCCAGTCAAATAGTTTGTATATCACAAGGATATTTTTTGCCTGCCTTGTTTATTTGGATACAGCTAGGAAACTGCAAAGCTGTCTGTTATCTTTTGATAACTGTATAGCACCATAAGGTCTGTGTTTGAGATCTACACTGATAACAACCATGACAGCACCTTTATCATGCCTAGAATGTGGGCAAAGACAAGTGTTATCTACATTTGCCTAAACTTTATTCCTTTTACAAAGTAGAATATGATCAAAAGGGTTTCTAAAATGTGATGGAGTACTTAAAACCTACCCACTTCTCCTTTTTGAAAGAAGCCTGGGGAAGGCTTCCTTCAAATGTTATAGTAGCCAGAGGAAGAATGGCTATATTTGGCTGTGTTCACCTACCTCTTTTCTACAGTTTTGATGCCCTTGTAGTCTTCTATTTCTTCTATATTGAAGCACAACAGTGAGGAAAGGAAGCATTACTTGCAGAGTTTCAGGGCAGGCATCTGGATTCATCCTTGTTCATGGATATGCCTAATTTAGGATTCTGATCCAGATTAGCCATAAATTCAGAGCTCCTGCTACTTAGAATGGAAGAAAAAAATACTGGATGACATTTGAAAATGCTTTGAACACTTGTGTGCAATTCCAATCTGATAAACAATTATTACAGATACATTTGCCAGTTTTTATTATTCCAACCCAAATCTCCTCTCACTCATTTGCTAAGTAGTACATCTCTGCTCCCTCAAACATATTGTCCTCAAGGGAACTGGCTGAAGAGAGGATGGGATCCCAGATCTAACATAGTACTGACAGATTTTTTTGGTTTGTTTGTTTTAACCGCATTATCTTTTATTTAGTGCTTCTGTATTCTGGGTCATGTGCTGTC